TAATACCAGGACAGAAGCCGGGAGATGCCACCGGAACACCTGTTTTCGGCCGCTCTCCCGAATGTTTCGGGCTTTTCCGGGGCGAGAGCCGGACCTAGTAATACCTATTTAAATAAAAAAAAGTTTTGAAAAAAAAAGTGAAACTAAGTTTGATGCAACGTGGTTTTAAAGAACCACTAAAGATTGAAAAAACATTGGTGTTCCGGGTAATAAGTAGGACAAAGCATAAAATGGTAAGAACTTTCTTTAAAAAACATAAAACGGCTAAAACTTTCTTTAAAAAACAAAAAATGACAAGAACTTTCTTTACAAAACCAAAAATGGCAAGGACTTTCTTTACAAAGCATAAAATAGCAAGAACTTTTTTTACAAGATTAGAAATGGCAAAAACTTTCTTTACAAAAAATAAAAATGCAAGAACTTTGTTTACAAAACATAAAATAACAAAAACTTTCTTTACAGCGCACAAAATGGCAAGAACTTTGTTTACAAAACGGAAAATGGCAAGAACTTTCTTTACAAAGCTTGAAATAACAAGAACGTTTTTTACAAAACATAAAATAGCAAGAACATTAATAAAAAAACTTAAAAATAGCAAGAACTTTCTTTACAAAATATAAAATAGCAGGAACTTTGTTTAAAAAACGGAAAATGGCAAGAACTTTTTTTGCAAAACAAAAAATGACATTGGTCGTCCAAAAATTGTCGCCCGCTGTCTACACAGATCGTTTTGCATTTTTAAAGTAAAAACTTTCTTTACAAACTCAAATTTTTAAAATTTAAAAAAATTTCAAGGTTTCGTTGAACAAAAATCCCAAAAAAAAAGTTAAACAAAAAATAGCTTTGGCTATATTTAAAAACCACAACAATGACCTTATAAAACCATCGTTAACAAAAGAATTAGTACAATGCTTCAGGTTTTAGCCGTAAATGTCAAACCGAAATAGAATTTTATTGAAATTCCGAAAAATCAAACTTTTTTTGGGCCAGCGAAAAGAAAAGAGAAGGAGGATGACTAAACCCGCTAAACTGCAAGATGGACATGTCTAAATAAATAAATATTCAAATCATATAAGTCTGCCAGAACAAGATTAAATTATAATACTAAAGGTAAAATACGCAATATCAAAAGAAAAAATGCCAATCTTAAATGTAAATAGTAGAAATGAAAACTAAAGTAATGAAAATACATATTAACAACATGAGTCATAAAGTAACGTTGCGCAATATAAAAGACCGCTTAACGACGCGATTTGTTTAACTTTATTAATGAGCGTCCACGGTTGTCAGTTTTCTTCAATGATTCACCCTGCCCAAGTTCTAGCCCTCGCCCAAAGTCCTACCCCAAAGCCCTAACCCAGAGCCCTAGCCCAGAGCCCTAGCCCAAAGCCCTAGCCCAGAGCCCTAGCCCAAAGCCCTAGCCCAGAGCCCTAGCCCAGGGCCCTAGCCAAGTGCTCTAGCTCAAAGCCCTATAGTAATAGTATGTAATAACCCTAGTGTAATAACCCTAGCCCTAATCATATTACATATAGCTTTTGCGCTTGTTCAAGCTCAAGCTCAAGTCCGAACCGTATCCTTAGAATCAGCCTTAGCCCTAATCCAAAAACCCAGCCCAGAACCCCAGCACAAACCGACAAACCGCTATCACAGAGCCCTATTCCAAAGTACTAGCCCCCACTAGCATAGAGCCAAGTTTAGCTCAAGCTATAGCTCAAGTCACAGCCCCAGCGTTGCCCGTTTCCAAACCAATGTCAAAAAACACTCTTATAAATAAACGAAACTGACCCTCACAACAACCATGAATAATATATCGACAGCGCGAGAGTGGAAAATACTTTACTGACTTCCATTTCTTTAGCAAAAAATGAAAAATGTTTCGAAATCTTTAAAAAATTTATAAAATTTTGAACTTCTCTGCATAAACTTTCTTTACAAAACATAAAATGGCAAGAACTTTCTTTACAAAACATAAAATGGCAAGACATTCTTTACAAAACAAAAAATAGCAAAAAATTTATTTACAAAACATTAAGTAGAATTTTACGTATAACTTGTCACTCGCAGACTGCAGGAAGGCAAATTTGCTATCTTGTTTAAAACTGGCAAAAACTTTGTTTACAAAACAAAAAATGCCAAAAACTTTTTTTACAAAGCATAAAATGGCAAAAACTTTCTTTACAATTATAAAAATAAACCCTGTAGGCGTAAAAAAAACTAAAAATTCAAAAAAAAATAAATATTTTTTAAAAATCGACGAGATACTTTAACTAAAACAACCTCGTAGTTACTCTAAAATAGCCGACACGCGACCGTAAAAAACAAAATCCGCTGGGTGAAAGAATCGGGCCGGTTACACGCGTTTTCAATCCAGTTCAAACACAAAAAAGGTAACGAGGCAATAAAACCAAAAAAAATTGAAAACATTGATGCTATAGGTAGATAATAGTAAAAAATTGGAAAAATACCAGGCTTTAAAAAACTTTTTATTAGAAAAAAATTTACCCCGCCCATATAAATTTTTTTAAAATTCTTTTCTTAAAAAAATTACTTATGTTTAGAATAGAGCGAAGGCTACGGCTAGACCTACGATAAGGTTAGGGCTGCGGCCAGAACTAAAGCACACATTTTTTCACTCCCTCCCCCCCCTTATTAAGTAAGAAAACAACGTGTCCCACCCAAATTAAAAAACGTTTTTTTTGGACACTCGATATAAAAATTTTTCACACGCCTTAGAAAAAACCTATAACGTGCAATTTAAGAATTTTTTTAACTTTCTCAAAAGTTTTTTTTGGCTAGCGCTAGAGTTAGGGCTGCGGCTAACATACAATTTTTTTTATCTAATCCGTAGAAAAAAACCTGCCCAAAATTAAAAAGCGTTTTTTTCTGGACGTTTTTTAAAGAATTTACTGTAAAAAAAACAAAAAAATCATCAACCCCCCCCCAAAAAATAAAATTTACCCCGCCCAGTTAAAAAATTTTTACAAAAACAAAATTTTAAATTATAATTTCACACTCTTAGCACAGATTTTATAAAAATTTTTTACCCCTCCCCCGCTCCTTACTTCAATTTCTTTTTAATTTTTCAAAAAACTTGCCATTTTGAAAAGTTTTGCCTTACGCGGCTTCGTTAAGAATTTTTTTTGGCTTTAAAAACGCATTGCGCAAGCGGCGGCCGAATCAAAAGAAAGAAAAAAATACATATTTCTAAACGAGCTCGGGATTAAGCGGCAATTGCGCGGGAATATGCAAATTTGGCTTCGACTTGGTCACAACTCGGAATAACATTTCGTTTTAACAAGTTGAAAAAGTTTTGCTGAATAAAATAAAATTTTAAATTATAATTAAGCGGTCAGGAAGTACATAGAAAGCTTGAAAATATCGCTTAAGGAATTATTTAGGTATTTAAAACCAAAAAAAATCAAAAAGTAAAAAGAATAAATGAAAAATTTGTTAAAAAATGAAAAAAAGCTTAATGTCAACAAATGTTTAGTTTTATAAAAAAACCGCCAAAACGTGTTAGAACACTTTTAGAAATAAACAACAGAACAAGACGATATATCATGGAGAAGATAAATGTAGATATCCCGTGATGTTTCGGACACATACAACACTAAAAAATGTTTCTTACTGCATGAAAATATTATTTACATTACTTTTTTAAAGTTATTATGCCCTTGCCTTGCCGTTGCCGTTGCCTTGACTTGACTTGACTTGACTTGCCTTGCCTTGTCTTGCCTTGCCTTGCCTTGCCTTGCCTTGCCTTGCCTTGCCTTGCCTTGCCTTGCCTTGCCTTGCCTTGCCTTGCCTTGCCTTGCCTTGCCTTGCCTTGCCTTTCCTTGCCTTGCCTTGCCTTGCCTTGCCTTGCTTTGCCTTGCCTTGCCTTGCGCCGTTCTACATTACCTTATCTGACCTTATTTTAATGTTCCTTGCCTTACCGAGCTCTGCCTTATCATTTTCTATATTACCGTTCCCTATCTTACCGTACCCTACCTTACCGTGCCATACCAAAATATGCCTTACTTAACTCTACTCTACCCAGCTTTATAACTTTGATTTAGCTCTGCTTTTAATGAACGAAAGCCGTATAAGGAACCGACGTCTGGCACGCTTATTAGCGTAACCTCGCCAGACGCAACTTTCTACCGCTCAATCACTGCTTATTTATAAAAAGAAGAAACAAGACTAATAATTTCAAATAAATGTTTGTATCTACATAGAACAGTGAGTCAAGAACAGAACATTAAAAAAGTCCAGAGTATTTTCTATAAAATGCAAAATATCCAACGGCGATGTGGAAGATAGTAATAAATCACTCATCGCGCAACGCATTTTAAAACCCCTGCTTACATACAAAATCGTGCATTTTAATGTGGCAAAAATGAAATGATATTACAATTAAAACATTTTTAAATACAGATACATACAAGGGATACAGGGTTTATAATGACGTTTTTAGTACACCATGTGTAGTAAAGAATTTTAGTACACCATGTGTGTTAAACATATGGTAAAAACTTAATCAATATATGAAGAAGTATAATAATTTGAAAATAGCTAACAAATTTGATTAATGATATCACAAGATGTTTGCTAATTGTAAGAAACCTCTTTGCTTGAAAGTCTTTAAAATCTTAAATAATATTAGCTTTTGGCATATTATTTTTAAACTTTTTTTTGTATTTTACTTTTAAAATTTAAAAACTTCTGTTGTTTCAAGTTTTTAAAACAAAATTTAACTTGAACAAATTGAGCCCATACCACCCAGAGCATCCTTGTATTCTCTAAAACATTAAAAATCTATATTAATGTTACTTTATGTTACTAAGCTTTATTATAACATAAGAGTTGTGTGGTCTTTATAGTTATTTTTAAATTTAAAAATTAATCTGTTTCTTGAAGATAGAGAGCTAAAGCTTGAGGCAAAGAGTTGAGGCTAGGGCCAAGATTAGGACTAACATTAGAGTTGAAGCTAGGACTAAAACTAGAGCGGAAGGCTAGTGATGAGGCTAGGGCTGAGGCTGAGGCTGAAGCTGAGGCTGAGGCTGAGGCTAGAGTTGAAGCTGGAGCTGAGGCTAGAGCTAAGGCTGGGGCTGAGGCTAGAGCTGAGGCTCGGGCTGAGGTTAGTGCTAAGAATACTGGCTAAGACTAGGGCTAAAACTAGAGTTGAAGCTAGAGCTGAGGCTAGGACTGAGGCTATGGCTGAAGCTATGGCTGAGGCTAGGGCTGAGGCTAGGGTTGAGACTAGTGCTGAGGCTAGACCTGACGCTCGGGCGAAGGCTAGGGCTGAAGCTATTGCTAAAACTAGGACTAAGCCAAAACTACAGAGTTTTTTCAAATGACTAGTCTGATCTGTACTACAACATTAACAAGCTTTTTTTAAAATTTTTACAACATCTACTTTGTGTTACACTTTTTGATTTATTCTAGAAGACGCTTGTGTATATTATAATAATTTACTATACATACCATGGGAAATGACACTATAGTATCTTACAAATCTATAGAGTTACGACAAAAGCCATCACTTTAATTTTGTAGTCTTGATATTCAACGTCTTGAATACTCAATCACACTCAAATGTAAAAGCTACAACTGTTCGTATTATTATGTGTCAGACGATCGTTTTTACATTGTATCTTCTATAAAAAGTTAAGTATTGTGTTTAAAACCATAACGTTTAACTTTGAACTTTTTGTAGTGTAATATGTACAAAATGTTAACTGATACTTGTTGGTATGTTAAAAAGGCATTGTAGTACCAAAATAAAAATATTTTTTTCAAATATAAAAATACAATGTAAAAAAAACTAATTTGTAGCTAATCAAATGTAAGTATTGTAGTACATTAAAGAATACAATGCTTTATTGTTTACGAACAAGTGATGGTAAGCAGGGTTGGACGCAGGGCAGGGCATGGGCCCTGTAACAGGGCATTTTTGAATTGTTTTTTGGCGCGCTTTTTTTTAAATTTTTTTTGGCTAGGCCTAAAAACGCAAAAATTTTTAGAAATGGGTTTTAAACACTGCTAATCCATTTTACGTTGTTATTTTCTTGATAGCTATTACAGTTTTCAAGATATGAGTTTGGCGGGAAAACGAAATTCAAAAAAATGCCCTGTTGAAATGCCCTGCCCTGCGTCCAACCCTGATGGTAAGCCGTTAGTCTATGGTTTAAACCGTTGTCAAGTCATTATGACCAAATTATAGCGTATGAGATGGTTCATGTAATCCAATATATTGCTGTCATTTTAATTGGGTATAATGAAAACACAACTGTTTTTTAGCCATCATGTGTTCTGTTAGGTAATTTAGGTAATACGAGGTTTATGTTCTTAGTAGGACTATGTATTATAATTAATCAGTGGTATATATGGTATCCGAAACACATCATTAAAAGAACTTTGAACCTGCACTGTATATAGCAAAAAGTACGTATAAAAGTAGTAAAGTACATGGTAGATTTTAGAGTGAAGAGTGTGCCATAAGGTGGCTATAGGATAAAACGAAAGACGGGGTTTACAGTACAAGATAGAGTGTAAGGTGGGGTGCCTGGTTAGGTGTAGAGAAGGATGTAGAGTAGAGTATACAACAAGATACATAAATATATTACTAAAATAATGAGTCCGGGGACTTTTGTCGCACCCTGTATATGTAGATCAAGATACAGAGCAGCGTATACGGTACGGTATACAATTATGAGTGTGTAATAGAGTATGAGTAAGATATAAGGCAGTTGGATAGAATAGAATATAGAGTAGGGTCTATGGTGGGGTAAAACAAAATATAGACTACAATAGAACATGTTATAAAAGAGGGTACTACACACAAAGCTTTGTTCAAAAAGAAAAAAGCTGTACCGTACCGAATCTTTGCAAGTTTTAAAAACACTTTGTTTTCTTTATAATTTATAAGAAGCAGAATTTAGAAATCTTGCCAAATGTTGTTTTTTAATTAAAAAGTGTTCTTTCAAAGATTGAATAATTTATAAGTTATGCACCCAGAACAGTTTGTAATGTCATTCAAATAAAAACGTTTCCATATTTGTTATTGGGTGAATACGTACCTATTGACATTTTTACTGTATTTTTAATAAGTTCGACCGATACTTCTAGGTCATTTCAGTTTTTTAAATGTTACGAGAGGCTTTCGGGTCTATTTGACGTATAATTATGTATAGTAAGATTAGGGTAAGGCCATGATAGAGTAAGATTGAAGTAAAGTTAAGGTAATGGTAAGGTGAGGTTGAAGCGTCGCTAAGAATAAGGCTGTGATGGCTTGAGCTATGTTAGGCTGGGCAAGTGCACTCTTTCTAGGCTAGAATCATTAAAGGACCAGTTCGCCCATTCAAATATCATTGGCATTCTGTCGCAAAAAGCGTCGAAAATCAGTAAATTTCAATCAAAATCATTTTTCTCAAGAAACGTGGGTGGGTCTGTGTCGAAATGAATTTTCCAATTTGAGACCGACCTGCTCAAGTTTTTTGCGAAAAAAATGAACGTCGAATTTTCGCGACAAAATGCCAATCCCCTTTATAAATAGAGAATGTGGTATGTTGTGAGCAAAAAAGTGAAGCCGCCGTTTTTATTTTTAAAAAATCCGAAAAAAGTTGTGCGGTCGCAATTTGAAAATGAAATGTGAAAAATAAAATGAAAAAATTCTTATTTGAAAATGAAAAAGCAAAATAGTACGAGAATTTTAATATTTTGAGGTTTTTATAAAAAAAATTTATTAATTATGTTATAAAAGTGTATAATAAAAACAATTGGTGATTTCATGGTAATTGTCAAAAACATTTCTTTTGACGTAATTTCGACTGTGGCAAGCGGTCGTTCCCGTTTTTACGGTGTTTAAACTTGCTGTAAATCAATTTAAAACGATTTTCGTGTTAGTTTTAAGAATTAGAATTAGAAACAGAATCAGAAACAGAAATAACTCTCCAGACTGTCAGAATTTTTAGACCGTAAGAACTCAGAAAGAAAGAAATTAGAACGAAAGAACTCAGAACGAAAGAACTCAGAATACAAAACCGTTTACTTTAGAATTCTAGATATAGAGATATATTATCAAGTTAAAACTAGAAACCGTTTCACATTTTCAAAGACTGTTTCTCTTTTTTTAAGACTCACATTTTTTCGTATACATTACTAATTTCTATTTACAGTTATTTGTCGGGAGTTTGTTTAGTTAACTAAAGTTTACTGTATAAAATTTACTTAAAAATGCGCCGTGGCTTTTTACGTACACCATCTGAAGAAAAGCGTATTGCTGATGAAAGAAAAAGGCGAAGGACAGAATTGCAAAGAGAAAGAAGGCAAAGAAACCGTGACAACAATCAACAGCCTTCAACTTCTTCTGATAGTGCCACAAATGCTAGAGAAAGTCGTTTAGAACAGCATCGGAGACACATGCAATCTGTTAGACAACAAGAAACTCCTGATCAAAATAATGTTAGACTACAAAATAGAAGAAATAGTTATCTTAACATTATCAACAACAAAACAGAAACAGAAAAGCAAAATCGACTAAATATTCACAACGAAAATCGTCGTATAACACGGCAGAATGAAAACGCTGAGCAAAGAGAAAATCGACTTAATCGTCGAAATATTGGTTCAAAAGATTATACAACAAATTTGCCAGAAATTCAAGTTCATAACCTTGGAGAAATGACCTTAACATGCACAAGTTGTAAAGCAAAACATTTTATTGATGAAACGCACGACAAAAATATAAAATTTAGCAGTTGCTGTGAAAAAGGAAAAGTTGATATCCCACCGGTCGCAAATTTCCCCCAAAATCTGAAAAAATTGTATAAAAATGAACATGAATTATCAACTGAGTTCAAAAAAAATATACGAGGATATATGAAATCCATGTCAATGGGTAGTATTATTACCAAAGAAGTACGCTTTAATGGTGGTGGCCCATATATGTATAGACAAGTAGGAGAATTTCAAAAAATGTTTAACACTTCCGCGTTACCTGACCTAGTTGAATTACCGAGTTATGGTCAACTTTTCATGGTCGAGGCAGATGAGGCGTGTGGAATTAGATATGATATAATGAATGACTTAAACAAAGAATTATTAGAAGAATTAGACCGTACCGTTCGCGCTGTGAATCCGTTTGTAAAATCATACGTAATGTTAAAAGAAGAACTGGAAAAAGCAGAAAATAACAACGAGAACCCAGAGTTTATGCTTTTGTTTTGTTTAAAAGACCATCTTGATAAACGACGCTTCAATCCGCCAAGAGTTAATGAAGTTGCGGTACTTTATGAAGCTGGCGTTGATGGCGAAGTACCCCGATATGAAATATGCGTTAACGTACGAGGGAAAAAATTAGTTAATTTAAAATCTACACATCAAAGCGCAGAACCATTGTTATATACACTGTTCTATCCAACTGGACAACTAGGGTGGCATCCTAAATTTACATGTAATAATGAAAAAATAACAAATGCTGAGTATGCAAAATACAAAATTTTTGGAAGGGATGAATCTGATTTCCCATTCTGTCCGATTTTATATGGCGGAAAGTCTTTTCAAGAATGGGCTGTAAATCAATATATCAATGTTGATCGTGAGCGACTTGATTATATAAAAAGGAATATAAGTGAACAAATAGCTGAATCCTACGAGTATATTGAAGAATATTTGGCTCAAAAAGCAGAGGAAACTGGAGCTCAAATCGGTAAAAAGTTTATATTACCATCAAGCTACATGGGTTCACCACGATATATGACAAATGCGTACGACGACGCAATGACATTAACACGAACTTTCGGAAAACCCGATCTTTTTTTGACAATGACGTGTAACCCAGAATGGCCAGAAATAAAAAACAATTTGTTTCCTGGCCAAACGTCTGCTGACCGACCAGATTTGATTGCTCGCGTTTTTAAGTTAAAATACAAAGAGATGTTAAATCAAGTAACCAAAAGTAAATTATTTGGTCAAGTTGCTGCATACACCGGTTCGATTGAATTCCAAAAAAGAGGATTACCACATGTGCATCTGTTATTTATATTAAAACAAGACTCAAAATTAACAAGTCCTGAAGAAATTGACAAAGTGATTCGTGCCGAAATTCCTAATGAAAAATGAAGATCCTAGATTGTTTCACATTATAACAAAACACAATTTGCACCAATGTAAAAAATTAAACAGTAAAGGAGAAGTTTGGAAAAAGTTTCCGTGTATCGAAAATTCTGATAATTGTTCTAAAAAATTTCCGAAAAACTTTATTGAAGAAACGGAAGTTAAGACAGGTGGCTACGCACATTATCGTCGCAGAAATAACAGTGTAACATTCACAGCTCCAGACGGTCAAATACTTGAC